TTTGTTCATTTTGTAATGATATCTTTAATTCTCTAATTTTGGTGAATATTTTTGTCATTTTTGGTAAAAAGTGATATTTTCGACTTCTTGTTGAAAACCGCAAGTCCAATTGCTTTGATATTACATATATAGGTACTACATGTGGACCTCTCTCAGATTTGTTCATTTCATAATGATATCTTTAATTCTCTAATTTTGATGAATATTTTTGTAATTTTTGGTAAAAAGTGATATTTTCGACTTCTTGTTGAAAACTGCAAGTCCGATTGCTTTGATATATTATACATATAGGTACTACATGTGGACCTCTCTCAGATTTGTTCATTTTCTAATGTTATCTTCTGTTCTTTAATTGCCATGTGCATTGCTAACAGCGGAGCCATCTCAGCCGACAGGCTGCTTGTTTTTAAAAATATCATCTGGAAGGTGTTTACTGCAGTGATTTCAAAATACTTTTCATTCACTTGCTCTTCAATGTTGCAACTTGCTTATACTTACCCTGTAACAAGCACAATTCTTGATTAATGTCTCCCACCAACACGTAGTGTCTTCCACTTTGTGTGGCCACAATATTGTTAGTAATACGTTTTACAATGGATGAACTTTTCCAATAGTTATTCTTAGAATCACAACTGTAAATACACAATACATTTCAGCTGTTGTCATTTTCACTAAGTACTTCACTAATCATATATAAAATACTATCTGCACAGGAATTGGGAGGAGTGCAACATATGGTAATATGTAGATATCCAGAGTAATATGACATCAAAACACAATTTATTTGTAAACATTTTCTGATATCCTTTTAGTTAGATTATATTTTAGTGCAGTCCGGGAGATTGTGTAGCTATTTGGAAAATTTAACTTTTTTTGTAGTTAGAATAAAATACATTGAACAGAATGATAATAGATATGTGTATCAAGTACACAGTCAGCTGGCATCGGTGTCGCTGGGTGTAGATGATAGACGGAAGTTGTGCAACCAAATTTGCCAAGTTCGCAGTTTTTCACCGATAAAAAAATAACAAAGCAAAAACTCATGGTTTTTCAGCTTTTTTGTAATAAAGACATTATTCTCTAT